AACCCACAACCCGCGAGCCGGCCCGGCCACCGCGACGCCCACGAGCGGGCGGCCCCGGTTCCGCAAGCGCGGAGGCCACAGGCCTCGGCCCGTGAAGCTGCGGCCTCGGGGCCCACACGGCGCCGCGCGGATGGCGTAGGTGGTGGCGCAGCAGCCTCGTTACGCAATGCAGGCTACACGGCCTGCGCCGTGGAACTCCCGCCACCCGCCTCGCGGTCCCTGAAGGGCACCGACCCTCACCTGAGACGCTAGGCCGCACGCCGCCGCCGCCCCCTCTCCGGGCCGCCTGCGCAAGCCGCCGCCGCCGGCGCCGCCACTGCTTCGGTTCCTCCGCTGCGGGAGAGCAGAACAAACAGCCCAGCCGCCGCCACCACAGCGCCAGCGCACTGACGTCACCGCGCACGCTGCGCGCGCGGCCCCGCGCCGTCGCAGCCTCCCGGTGTGCGCGACCCGCCCGCGCACCACGCTCCCGAGAACGTCCCGGGAGCCAGCTTCCGGACTCTGGGTGAGTGCATCTGAGCGGCTCCTGGGATCTGGGGCCGCGCGAACTGAGGGGAGGAGGCTGAGGGAACCTTCGAAAGCCGAGTGCACCCCGCAGACTGAGTGGAGGGACCCCACGGAATGAGGGAGGAGGCCTAGTGCGCTCCGCAGTCGATAAAGGAACCCCATGGACAGAGAGGAGCCTGAGTGAACCTGACAGACAGTGAAGACACCCCACGACTGAGGGAGGAGGCCCAGTGCACCTCGCAGACTGAGTGAAGAGACCTCACTGACTTGGGAAGAGGCCGAGGGCACGGTGAAGGTGAAGAGTGCATTTAATAGTACTTGGTGTGCATCTAATATTGTTTTATAGTCATTGTATACTTAGGACACAGTAGTTATTTTATAGTTACTTTATAATAGATGTTTGCTAAGAGTTTTACTGAAGAGGAAATAAAACTAAAATGGAGAACACAAAGACCACAAGAACTATCTTTAAAACGTGGTTAACTGCAGTTATCTAATGGAACATATGTTTGCAAATGTCCTGTTTCCTAAGGTGCCAGCAATAAATTCTATTGCTAAAGAATGTCTTAACCCCTGCACTCAATATCTGCTCTTGTAAGCATGCTTGGCCCCTGAAGTGCAAAAGCAATCACCCCTTCCCTCCCCTTGGTGGTCTTAAGACAAGTAAAGCCTCTGTGCTGGTGATCACTTTAAAATTCTAACTTAAATCCACCAATGTTGTAAGGGTTAAGAAATGAGGTGGGGCCGTTGTTGCACGCCTTTATCAGCACTCCAGAGGCAGAGGCTGGTGGATCTCTCTGAGTTCAAGGCCAGCCTGGTCTACATAGCCAGTTCCAGGCCAGCTGGGGCTACAGGGGGACCCTGTCTCAAAAAGCAAAAAACAGAAAAAAAAGAAAGAAGAAATAAGGTGGGGAAGCCTAAAAAAACTGTAAGGGGCTATAGGTTGGGGCTCAGAACTTCACAGGGCTACCTCATCTGGGTCCAGGGGCATAAATAAATCTGAGTTCTCCATCTCTCAGAATGAAACTTGATCTCTGAAGCCAGGTGTGGTGGTGAACACCTTTAATCCTATCACTTGGGAGGCAGAAGCAGGTGGGTCTCTGTGAGTTTGAGGCCAGCTTTGTCTACATAGTGAGTCCCAGACCAGCTGGGGCTACAGGGAGACCCTGTCTCAAAAAAAAAGAAAAAGAAAAAAAAGAAACTTGATCTCTAGACTGCCTGATTTCTGTAACAGTTTTAGAGCCCCCAGCAACATTCCTACCACACCAGCCCCTGGAACCCCTGGAATGATAGCCTGGCTAGGCCAAGAGAGGGTACCACTTGATCTTTTGGGTCGCATTTCACATTGACATTCTCATCTCCAGAACAGCTGAGCCCAAGGACCAGAGATGGTCACAAGGAAAAGTAAGGTCTGGAACCCAGGTCAGATCTGCCCTTAAGGATAGAAGGAGAGCCCAATCACCTCTCAAAGAGCAGCCTTAGTATGCCTCTGGGAAGTTAGAAGCAAAACCCACAAATCTAGGCATAGGAAGTAGCCTAGGAAATACTGCATAGGAGGGTCACTTCCTGTGTTAGGGAGCTCTGGAAAGAAGAGGGGAAGGCAATGTTTAAATAAACTTAGAATGCTTGAGTGAGTGAGCAGCCTGATTCATTTATGTTCAGGCACAAATCTGTGGCTCCACAGCTGGGCACCCTTAAGATCCCCTAAAGGCTACAGCGTCTGAGTGAGTGGGTGCGCCTGCCATACTGTGAATAACATATGGACCAGGGAGGTATCAGACTAGAGTCTGATTGTAAGTCATAAAATTGAGTCCACCATGGACCTAAGCTCCTTTGAGACAGTGCAGATGAGTGCCGGAATGATGTCCTCTTTCAAGGAGACACCCACTCTTGTTTGTCTCTGCAGTGCTGAAGAAGGGAGGGAACTCTGGGGAGGGTACTGAAATAAAGCTCTCATATGTCTTAGAGATCCCTCTGCCCAAAGTACATTGGAACACTGTTCTTTGAAAAGATCTCTACTGTCTATAGCCATTCTGTGTCCCAGATCCAAGTAAATGGCCCATTGAGTATTTCTTCTATAAGGCAAAAATTTTAATTAAACCCAGAGATCTCTATTCTCCTGGAGCCATTGGAATCAAGATAGAAAAAGGCCAGGGTCCTCATCCACATTTTTTGTCACTGCTCTACATTCTGCAAGGACCTAGCGACCCTTTAGAGCAGCCCTCAAGAGGAATTTATTGGAGCACTCCTTACATACCTCATTGTATTCTGGAGCATGACCAGGAACTGGAGAGCCACTTACCTTAACCTTCTTAACTGTATAGGCCTGTTTTCTCCCATTAGAGACCTGGGCTTGTTAGGAATGCCAAACTTTTAACAAGCGGGGGTGTCAGGAATACTTGGGTTACATGAAGATTCACCATGGGAGGGAAATCCTCAAAATCTGTTGCCTTTGACTGCATGATGAGAAATTTCAAGAAGAGTTCTGGAGACTATAAAGTTAAGATGACCTCAGGGAATCTCTATATCCTATGCCAAGTGAAATGGCCCACCTTTGGTGGGGAATGACTCCTGGAAGATACCGTAGACCTTTCTACTGCCGGCTGTATATCATGTGGTGACCCTGCTCAGATCAATTTCTATACATAGACTCATGGTTAGAAGAGGGTTACTAACCTTAACACAAGGGACGGGAAAAGAGAACTGATGAAAGTTATTTACCAAGGGGACCTGGAAGAGGAACATATCACCATACATTTCCATGGCTTCACTAGCCCCCAGACAACCCCTGTACCCAGAATTGCCAGAGTGCCCTCCTCTAGTGCTATCCTCACCACCCCAGTCATCTGAGAGACTACCAAGCCCAAGTCCAGCCTGACCATCCCAGTCACCTGAAAGGATGCCAAGTCCAAGTCTGAGGCAACTCTGTTCATCTAACCAGACAAGCCAACAGCCTATAGCCCTCCAGATACCCCTCCAGATGACCCAGGGCCCCTGCAGATTGTCGAAGATGGCATGGCTTGGCTAGACTGTCTTGTCTTCTACAACTACCAGCCTTTCAGCATGACAGACCTCTCCAACTGGAAGCAGTGCACCCCAGCTTACCCAGAAAAGCCTCAGGTGATGATTGATCTGCTTAAAAATAGATTTATTTTTAAAATTCACCGGCTAACCTGGGACAACTGTCAGCAACTTCTCTTAATCCTTTTCAGTACTGAGGATCCACACTGCATCCTATCTGAGGCCTGAAACTAGCTCCAAGGGCAAGTGCCAAATACTGAGCCAGGGGACTGGAGAGATGCCTCAGTGGTTAAGAGTACTTGCTGCTCTTGCAGAAGCCTGGGGTTCAATTCTCAGCACCCATATGACAGCTAACAACTGTATATAACTCCAGTTCCAGAGGAATCCAGCACCCCCTATGACCTCTATAGGCATCGCACAACATGGGTGCACTTACATACATACCAGTCAGAACACTCATTACACATAAAATAAAAATAAAATTTAAATACTGAGCCAGATCTGCAGCATGGGCCCTGAAGACTATGCCAGCCATTCTACCTAAATAGATTTCAATGTTCAGGATGGAAGAGAATCTCTCCAAACATACAGGTCGCTGTGTTACAGGGATTGAGAGCTGGAGCAAGAAGCCGACCAGCATACTCAAAACAATAGGGATCCTCCAGAAACCAGATGAGTTGCCCTGGGAGTTCTATAAGAGTCAGTGAGGCATACCAGGTGTACACTTTCTTTGATCCCAAAGACAGGAAAATCAGCACATGGTGAATGCAGCATTTGTGACCAATCCTGTACCACTATCCACCCAAAGCCCCAAAAATTGGAAGACTTTGCTTTGATGAATGCTACACAGTTGTTGGAACTTGCAAGGGAGATGTTTGTGAACCATGACCAGGAAGCCCCCAAAATGGTGAGTAAGTGAATGAAACAATATGTGTCTCTATTGATTGCCAGTCCTATATCCCACTTTTACTGGTAAACCCAGAGGGAATCACTACTATCCTGTTCAGGACCTCCATGTAATTGAGATGCCTCCAGTAATGCAGTGGGCACCATTCACGGAGTGAACCCAAACCCCTACACCCTCCTGAGCCTCCTACCCCCTCATTCAGATTGATGCACATCTCTTAACCTATAGGATGCCTTTGTTTGCTCATGAGTCAGCCTGTTTGCCTTTGAATGAGAAGATCCACAGACCAGGAGGAAGGCACAGCTAATGTGAACTGGATTGCCACAAAGCTTCGAGAGTTCAGTCACCTTGTTTGTTTAGGC